CAGACAAACAGGCAGACAGTCAGACAGACAGACAAACAGACAGAAAGTCAGACAGTCAGACAGACAGACAGTCAGATAGACAAATCAGATTTTCAGACCATCAGACAGACAGAAAGACAGTCAGACAGACAGACAGTCAGACAGACAGTCAGACAAACAGGCAGACAGTCAGACAGTCAGACAGACAGTCAGACCATCAGACAGGCAGTCAGACGCTTAGATGATTAATAACATTTGAAAATAATAAAAAGTGGAAAAACATTGATAAAATAGAAAAGAAGTACAGAAAACACCAATGCTTGCTGCGTGCAGTTACAGAGTATTTCATGTGTTATACTAACCCATTTCATTCTTGACAGATATGGATTTCCCAATATGTTCCATTGGAGGGGGATAACCTCTTTGTGTCTGGCTTAAGGTGGTCCTGAATAGAATAAGAATACAAATTATGTTTTAGGAACTGCAGAGCAGACGTTAGACTGGGAGGGGGGGTGTGGATAGAGCAGATGTTGGACCAGGGGTGTGATGTACATAGAGCAGACTTGGAACTCTGGGGGGGGGGGGGGTCAGGTTGATTTGGATAGAGCACACATTGGACTGGAAGGTGGGGGGGGCGGGGGTGATGTGGAAAATAATCAGAAGCCCACCCCTTGGAAACTACAGCATCAGTGCTAACAGCATTCTTAACTTACATTATTCCAGTTTCATCATTTCCAATCTGTTCAACTTGCTTCCAAAATTCACTGCCGACTCGATCTGAAAAGCATTCAACAGCTAAATTTTGTGTAGAGCTATTGTAATTAGAAGATGAACAACTATTAATAGTGTTATTAATAGTGTTATATGTCATTATGGATGATTAAATTTTGTAATATGATCATTGATTATGAACATGATGATGGTGATGATGATACTCGATGATGCATGATGATGATACATGATGATGATGATGCATGATGATGACAGATGATGATGAGGATACAACATTAAGATACATATATACATGATAATATGACTATCCAACCAGTAACTTACATCCTTTGCCATAATCCAAAGAAGGAATTGCTCTGTCAATCACATGCCTGGAATAAAAGAAACAATGTTTTTTCCTTCATACTTTTCTCACTCAACAATTTCCATGTGGTACACACTTCAACAAACCTTTGTTCTTGTGTCTTTCTATAGTCTTCACTTTGATTCATGACCAGCATGTCTCTAGCAGTACCCAGCCTCTCTACATCAAAATATCAACACAAACATTGATATAAACTAGTATAAGCTAACTTTATTGATGTATGAAGGATGCACTATGTGTAATAAAGTCATGCCCACCATGGATGTTGCCAAAATATGATGATGTTTCTCTCAACATCTCAATTGGCCCAAAACAAATATGTTTTTTCACTTTATAAAAACAATGGTGCAAAACCTCAAGACTACCCTCCCCTCCCATGTTATTCATGTACCTGATAGATAGTCTTGTTATCACCCTCCCCTCCCATGTCATTCATTTACCTGATAGATAGTTTTGCTGTCTCTGTCTCTCATACATCCTTTCTTCCCAGTTGACAAGAGCATTACTCTCATCAATCTACATGATGGAAAAATATCCCATCAGAGTAAAAATATTAACATAAGGAAAAATAAAGTCTATAGATTCTTAAATAAAATTACAGTTTCGTGATAACTAATACAATTTAAAAAAATACATCAAGCATATCTATAATGAAATAAAGCACTTTCCTTGTGACACTACCTTTTGCTGTCTCTATCCCTACCCACCCACCCCACCCCCATGGTATTTACTCACCCTTGTTTGGTAGACATGTGCAGGATGGGATGTCTTGGGTTTCTTTGGAGACTTTGACTGTGGCCTTATCTCTTTGCCATGCTGAAGAATGAAATATTAAAAAGCATATTTATACAACACATTTATTTAGTCTGTTCACAGTTCACCCTGCACTATCTTGAAAGGTTACAGTGCATCGAAGAACAAGAACAGCAGTAGACGTGCAATTAATGATAGAGACTTATTCATGCACATTGGACAATTAATGTCTCTATTGAACAATAAAAGGAAATGTTTCAATGTAATTGAATGTAATACTGTCATCAATCTTATATTGTGGATAGCCAGACAAAAAAGTCACCCAACACAAAATTTCCCAATAATAGCAAAAAAACAAACCTTGATTTTTTTTCAAAAATTCAGCTAAAAAGTATGAGTTATGAACACTAGCAATAAAATTACAGGCTAAAAGCTGCAAATTCAGAGTAAAAAACGTGTACCGGTCCGGACAATCCATTGAACCGAAGTCCAGTCCAGTCCAGCCATGCTCGGTTCCCGATTTTCCAAAATTAAAAAACTCTCATAATTCAGAATTTAGAAGCGCAAATCAAATTTTAGAGGTTGGGCATGTTTTTTCAATACAATAAGATCATCTACATCCATTTAAAAGCTGAAAATTCTATGAAAAAAATTTTGGTTATCCAAGATCCAGTAACTGACCTGCAGTCCAATCCCACAGTGTACACAAATCCGGATTTTCCAAAATGAAGAATATCTTAAGATACAGAATTTAGAAGCATTCCTCTGACTACTGAATTAGACCTGGCCTATTCGCATATGTCCAAGTTTGGCAGCCTGATCCTGGACAGCATATAGTAGTCTTATTATATCTATAATTATTATTAATACAGCTTCTCATTAATCCCATATAGGTAACTGTCCAATTATTTTCTTAATTGGACAGGTCTTGTTGATATGGGATTAATTAGGCAGCTGTATAATTAATAGGTAATGGGATTTCATGCTCCTCAATCAAGAAATAATTAGACTCGAAAAATTCCTCCGACTGCCAAATACGACTCGGCCTACGAACTCATCCAATTTTGTCAGTCCTCGGAATTTTTCCCGTCGAATTATTTCTTGAGTGGACAGCATGGAGTCCTATTACATATACTAATAGAGACCTCACCCAATGACAAGCATCGAGGAGAACGGGTCGTCCTTCACAAATTTGCAAGATAATGATCCTATTGAAGGGTGCACATGTGTAGAACGATAGAAAACAATGACCTTTCCCCAACCCCGCCCCTAAACCTAACCAATCACAGGGGACGCTGCAAATTCGTGTTAATGATTTACCAGTGATTCTAATAAATGCAGTGATTGAATGATGGAATCTCAGTAAGTGATTTGCTGTTCTAACACGGCCGACCGGGGGAAACTCGAAAGATTGCCCCAGCCGTAACACTCACCCAGGAGAACAACTCCAAAATGATGACACAAGCATGTTTCCAAAATGGTGATTTGTGTGCGCTTGTCATCTTAAGCGTCGTTTCACATCCTAGAGAGAACAGTAACGGCAAGGACAACAGTGTGCACATGAAAAACCTTTTGAAAATGTCCTGGCACCATCATCTCAGCATTGCTATCCTGTTATTGCTGTTTGCATGTCTCTAATGACATTTGTGGAGTACATATAATACACATTGCTTGAAGATTGATTGCATTAACTTACTGTAAAAGATCCAGAGAATGGAGGAAGATTCTGCAAAAGGTATTCACAGAATGATTAATGATAACTCATAATATTAAAAAACTCCATACGTTTATCATCATTCAATAGTCCCCTTCACAGTTCCTTGCGCCATCTTGAAAGGTAGCCGAGCCTTTGCATCGAAGCGAGACGAATGGTGAGCTTGCAACTATAGAGACCTTTTTTAACACCTTGGACAATTATTCACATGTCTCTATCATTGCAAACTCACCGTTCGTCTCGCTTCAGTGTAAAGACCTACCTTTCAAGATGGCGCCGGAAACTGTGAAGGGGACTATCGACACTGAAATTGAGCTTGGGATACCTGTGGCTGTTGTCTTACCTCAATGTCTCCTCTACTGATGGCCTCTTGATAGAAATCATCCCAGGATCCCAGAATACTGTGAGGGTGAACTTGACCCTCTGAATCAAAAACTGGACCTGCCGACCCTAATAATAGAAAAGACAGTTTAGAGAGTATTAGATTAGAGAGTCCAACTAGAGTGCAAATAATATACCCGTTAAATAGATAGCTAGCTAACTAATTACTAACCTTTAGTGCCTAAGTCTAATTAGTTAAGATAGGTGAGCCGTGACGGGTAAACTAGTGAACRTGTGCTACTCAAGGGCGAGCATTTTTAAATATGAAGTATTGAGTGTTACTCTAGTAAACACCCTCATTGAATTCCTATGTTTTGTCTAATAGGACGTTTGCATTATGGTGTCGTTTGACTCCCACTACCATGATGCTGCGTGAATTTTCTTTCTTATTTAAATTTATATTTCCTCATGAGAATAGTAAGACAATTGGTGCTAATTAATTGAACAAAAGAAAGTGTGCAAGGGAGTCTGGCAGTAGAGGTCAATGACGCCATCAGGCAAACGTCCTATTTCATCCTAACTATTTCACGGGTATATTATTTGCACTCTATTAAACATTGTGTCTATTGATTTGTGACTCACAAGCGTTCATCCATTTCACATAATGTTGGTTCCTAATGAAATAGACCTCCTTGGCTCAGGCCATGTGTCATTCCTTTCAGAAAAAGATTCTTTGTTTGAGTTGTATCCATATCCATGTGTCTTTCATGTGCAACCGAGCGCAACCGTTAAACAAAGAAATGATATTCTAGGGAATGACATGTGGTCTGAAATGGGAAAATATTACGCTCGAGCCGAGGAGGTCTATTGGTCTTCCTGTGGTATCAGGTTCTTGATACTACAGGAAGACCAATATCAGGTTCTGTGGTAAATTCCCAAATAATTATTGTAATTCATTATAATTATTTCAACTTTTTCTGACCTGCTACTGGCTTGGATATGAGTGGTGCTTCAGGTGGAGCTGGTTTTGCAACTGTTATTCTTTGTAATAAAATAAATTTCAAATAACCAAATAAATTTACATATTTTCCTTGGATTATAACCATCCTCCCCCTAAACAAACCAAAAACCAAAACCAAAAAATGTCATTGAACCCTGAAACAACATCTGGGCTGATCTAAGTCAGGGCACAGCTAACTCACAGATTGAACCCTCAAACAACCTCTGGGATGATCTAAGTCAGGGCACTGCTAACTCACAGATTGAACCCTCAAACAACTTCTGGGCTGATCTAAGTCAGGGCACTGCTAACTCACAGATTGAACCCTCAAACAACCTCTGGGATGATCTAAGTCAGGGCACTGCTAACTCACAGATTGAACCCTCAAACAATTTAGGGCTGATCAAGGTAAGTCAAAGTAAGGACATCTAACAAATAGAATAATCCGTTTCACAGTTCCCTGTGCCTTTGCACCAAATCAAGATGAACAGCGAGCTTGCAATGATAGAGACCTTTTTTAAACACCTTGGACAATATCGTTCGCATGTCTCTATCATTGCAAGTTCACCAAGGGAACTGCGAAGGAGGCTATTGGAGTTTAGTAATAATTTCTGGTAGCCAATCATAAAACAGGATTTATAACACATTAGCACATACTTTTTCCCAGTCTGGGGAGCTGTCTCTGGTGGAGTTTTCACTCTTGTTTTTCTGACTATCACCTTGGTGGATGGCTTCGGTTTGTCTGGTTTTCTTGGAACTCGCAGCTGAAATATTCAGATAAATTTCATCTCTCTCAATATGACAGGAAAGAAGGTTGGAGAGAAGACAGAAACTGAGGATAAAGGACTTAAAGGCAAGTGGTAGAGAGGAGAAAAGAAAAGAAGAGATCTTCATCTCGTCTTCACTCCACTATAGAGGAGTGGAGGCAAGATGAAAAGAGTTGAGAGAACAGGAAAGAAGAAAAAACAAGAGGAGAAAAAGTAGAAGACCAATAMGGAGAGGAGATAAATTCTTTTGTCTTTCGTGTACCTTTTTTAGTTCATCGGGATTGATTGCTAATGATTCAATATCATCCCCACTTATCACTTTGCCTGGTACACTAACAGTACTTGATTCATCTGGTAAAACAGCCATGGATGCCACAGGGCTCCCAACCTTCTCTGGTGTCCCTACATTCTGCTTTTTGTTTTTCGATTTATCTGTAAAATAATAACAATAATGATTAATATATACACAACTTATTCAACTCGATTTCAACCCTTACTTTTGGAATCCGAAAAAAAGTAAGTTAAGGAAGAATGTAAAATTATTAAAGAATAGCGTCAGAAGAAATTATTATGGTTTAAAAACCTTTTTTTTTTTGTACATGGTAGCTTATATTGTATATCATTATAGCACTATGAGTTCATTTCAAAATATTATTTTATTTTTGTTTTGTTTTACAACCAAAACATTGAAAAGTTAACCGAAAATCATTCTTCTAAAAATCTTACCTGTAGACTTCGGACGGTCTCTTTTCGACGGCTTACTTGATAGTTTATTGCTCATAATGTTTTGTTTCGTTAAATTTGGTTGTTTTAGGGACGAATATTAGTATTATCTTGTATTTTTTGACTTATTTAGTTCTTCGTAGCAACGACCGCCATCTTGTCAACAACAACAGTAAGTGCGAAGTGAATGATGGGATAGAATTGCCACAGGGCTCCCGCTCGATGGATTTCAGTTTTATGYATTTGTCTTTCCTTGGCATAGAATAAAACGAACAGTCTTCGCGGCAAAAATTCGACTGCCTGGCGCTCATTAGGTGCCCGACAGTTTCAGGAAAACTGCAAAAAACAGCAGGTCGATGTGCAATAAAAAAAAAAACTTGACTAGATACATGTTTTAGGTCACCCATCCAGGCACTAACCCGTCCTAGTTGGGCTTGTCTTATTGAATGCCCAAGTTTTTTCCACTGGGCCACGGTTCCAGGTGAATCAGCATAACAATAGCCGTGAAAACAATGCACCGAATAGACTAGACTTTTTCAACTTAAAACTTTCAACCGATTCCGTGCGTGGCAGAGATGCAAGGGATTA